GCAAATGACGATGCCGAAACATATGTTTAGACCAAAAAACGCAGTCTGAGGTGTGACATTAAGCAATGCAAGCGTGACGTTTTGCATTGCTTAATGTCACAACTCAGACTACGTCTATTGATCTAAACATATGCTTCGGCATCGTCATTCGCTGAGCTGCCTCCGCACGTTCCGCTGATTGGGTCTCCAAGTGTTGTGCGGGAAAGGAGACGCACGGGCCTTTTTTTAGAGTGTAGTCTCTGCAACGTTAAAAAGGAGGCATGTCAGACAACTCACGAGGTGTTTTTGTCGCAACTTCACTGTAACAGATAATCAATTCGGTGGTGGGAAATATCTGCTCAAGAAGGTGGGTGTGCAGCAGAAAGATCCCTCACAATGGCAACCGATGTGACGTCAGAGCAAGCTACGCATAGGGGGCCTCCTTCTCAGTATTTCAACCACAATTCCGGTCGTGATACGAGGCACAATAGCCCTCTCACTCTTGAAGAAACGTTGTTTGGTTCAAAGGTGAAGTGGTGCATCACGCAGGGTGCGTGCGCAGCGTCGATGAGATGTCTACGCAATCATAACGTTCACTTCCTGAGCAATACTGTCTTGAGAAACGGCCACTGCCCCGCTGATAGCCATTTCCAAACATCCGGGCGCGCAATATTAGTTACGTTTCGTGCATTTCTGCTTCAGAGTCACAAGGTCGGTCCGGTGCGCACTACACGTGGATTGCGTCACGTCTCAAACCCTTCGCATGCTCCTCGTTGGGATTCCCCCGAAATCCGGGAGAGATCGACTGCGTCGATGGAGAGCGCGAGCGCCTTTTCTTGGTCCGGAAGCAGATTCAAGCGCACAGAAATATCACCGGGGGTGTTCTAATGCCAGAGATGCGAGGGTTGCCTACCCATCAAGTGCTCAGGGTACAAAATATTTGAGCAAACAGCACCAGCCGATCCGGCGAATCTACATGTGGATTCGCCAGATTCCTCTCTCGCGATAAAAATGGAAGCGTTGCGGTTGTTAAAAATTCTGACGATTGCTCCCGCGTGGATTCTGGAGAGATAATAACGACCTCGGATTCCAGCTTCCTGCTGCTCGGCCACTTTCTGCTGCTCGCGGATTTAACAAAAAAAAAAAAAAAACACAAAAAAGGGAGCAACGTGAGCGAGACTTTGTAGATTTGTCATGTACTAAGCCCCAGCAGGGGTTCTACAGTTAGGAAATCAGCGCCCGCAGCAGGTGCACGCGATTAGCTCGTGTTTTATTATTCGTCCGCTTTATCTACCCTCTGTGACTCTGTCTAACCGGCAAGCGGAGACTGGCGGCCGGAAGCTCCTCGGCAAGCCCCCAACGAGACGCCCTTCGAGAGACGTTGGCGAAGGGGAAAACCGGAGAAAGAAACAATGGCCACGGCGGTCTCAGCCACGATAGACGCCCATAATGAGGGCCCCTGACTCAACTCGCACGGCGTACGCACGACACACTGGCGGCGCCCACTCGAGCTCCGACGGGAAACGGAACAACGATAGAGAGGGACGTTCATCGCTGCTCTCGGCGGATCGCGCACGCGCCGGCCAACGGACCAATAGAAGTGGCAGGCGTATTCGACCGAGGATACTCGTCTTTTCGCCGACACACGTTTCGTCGGCGCACGCTTCATGGATATGTGAGGGTTGGATCGTCCTTCATCGCCAGCCGCGGTTGCGACTTGTCCAAGATCGATGCCAACAACCCGTCGTTGCCACGTTTGCTGACGCATTTACTCTAGACTGACAGCTTAAGAAACACCGGGCGTAATTTATTCTGTTGACGCTTCGCGGTTATTGCTTACGTGTTTATTTATCGGCCAATGCCACCCTCCGATTGACTGCAGAGCGAAACTAATATGCTCGGTATTGGTCACGCCCCACATTTCTTCAGTTGTCACTAACTATAGTGCAACGCGGAGTGGAACTGGTGCAGTGCTATAGTCGGTTACAAGTCAAGAAGGTAGGAGAAGCTCCTCCCACAAGTGTGATGCGCCCGTTTCAAATCTCTCCGCAGTCGAAAGAAGAGTTCACTGGAAACGCTCCTTGTTCCGCTTCAATGGATTCCCACTTGTCTCCGATCCCACTTTTTAAGAAAGCGACCTTTGTATTCATCGGAGAGGGAACCGAGCCCCTGAAAGCAGCCTTTGTATCCTTCGGGGGGGAAGCTAATCCCCGAAAGTCGTATTTGTTTCCGTCGGTGGGGGAGAACTCTAATCTCCCTCTCGTGGCTTCCACAATGCTAAGTCAAAGCCGAAAGATAAAGCAAATATGTACAAAAAGGCAAGACCCTCCTCGCGCGTTGGCCGCGACGTCACGGAAACGGTGGGACGCTATTGGATGCGGAGGTGGCGGAGGGATATCTGATTCCCTTTGAGGGGTATTTGCCGCTACCTTCTTAACCTGTAACTGACTATAGTGACACTCTCAAATGGCGTCATCACCAAACCACGACCTCACTGGTGCGAGCGCATGGCTTCATCTGCCATTCCCCCTGCACGAGAGGGCGTGCAAAGCAAACGCTAGATCAAGCGCCCTCGTGACGCGCCAGCGGCTTTGTCAGCGTTATACAAAGAAGTTTGACAGTTTGACACAGAGCACACTTCCTTTCAAACAGCGGTCGTGCTGGGGAGAAGCAGCCTTTTCCCGATGCGCAGTGGTGCGTCTCCTCAGACATGCAGAAAGCGGCGACTCGAAGGGCGTTCGAGTAATTTACGATAAAGCGGCTGTCGAGGAAAGGTGAAAGCGTCGATTAAACATTCCAGTTCTGCCAGGTTTTCCGAAGACCCAACCTAAACCCGCCGAATAAGCTACGATTGAAAGTAACGCCACTTGGGCCATCGGATGGATGGATGTATGGACAATAATGGCTCTACCCTTTACAACGGGCGGTAGCTTGCGCCACCTAGCATAAAAACAAAACACAAAACAATTATTCCCCTCCCTTCCTCCGCCTTCTCCTCCTCCTCCTCTCCCTCTCCTCTCCCCTCCCTCACCCCCCGAGCTGATGCATTTCTGTACTATCTGGAGGGCGTGAAGGTGATCGCCTTTGGGGGGATCGGGCAAAAGAACTAAAAACATCATTCCCCGGCGAGGGAGTCGGTAATTTTCTTCTGGTCTCGGTGCTCAGAATCATGGTTGTCACTTGTCCGAAGCTTTACTTCCAATTTCAGGAAAGGATTTTCCGTCCTCGAGGAATGTCAAAAAACAGTTGGCGGCAGAGCAAAACCGCCCGAGCTTCCTGACATGGTATCCAGAGCTCAGGATGTCGCAGCTTCGAACCGATCGCCAATGGCGCCCGCCCTGCACTAGGCAACAAAATGGCTGCGCCCACGAGACAACCGGGGAAGGGAATGCCAATATTGGAGCCACTGTATAGCCTAGCATATTCACTGGCTCCAATCCCAGGCGTAGCAGTGTCGTGCTCGAACCCCCTCGATGTCGCGAGACGTCCGGTGCCGGGTGAGCCGCGTCTCGGACCGCCAGTATCGCGGCCAAAGGGAGGGCGCACCAGCGACGACAACTCGAGCATTTAGATGCCAATTATCTCGACGGAGACTTTTCTCAAGGACGCGCCGAGGAGGGAGTGGTCGCGCCGGTAGGTGTCTAACGGAAAACGAGTCTTAGAGTGGGTCATGGCGACATTCCACGAGGCAAGGTTGCTCGGAGAAACTTTATTCTGCGCGCCGAACCTGGCAGGACATCCGTCAAGTGCGCTTGGGCGACACGAAAATTGCGTGCCCTGTGACGGCGTCTGCCGTCGTAATCACTTCCAGACTATCCCAAGACACGCACAGATGAGACTCTTGTTTAAAGAACAAATAAACAAATAAAGGTAACTGTTCTCCAACTTTTGACGCCTCTTCAAGAAGAAAGAGACGGTTATCGGTGCCTCGAATCGCTTTTTTTTCTCTCTCTCTCTCTCTCTTTCTCTCATGAAAGTCAAGTTCTGCCTTCAAAGCAACCCTCTGCAACAAATGTTTCTCGACTCGCGGCAAAATATGTCAACGTGGTCGGACGGAACAGACTACATCTGGCAGAACTGCGGCAAACAAAATGTGCCCTCTGCTAGTACTGTGCTCGCAAACTCAATCTAGAGCATGGTTTACGAGGCATTAAGACACATGCACCACAATACAGGGCATCTCACATAAGAAGAAACGTAACTGTCAAAGTCACTCGACAGAAACAACAGGCGCGTTATAACGCTGGCCAAGGAGCTCACGCGTCTAGTCCTTCAATGTGGAACATTCGATCGCGGACCTCAACACCCGTTTAAATACGAATAAACGGCTCCCAGCATCTCGCTTTCGGCCCGCACTAAAAGCACGGTCACGATTTATACGACAGGTGTGCGCGAACAAAAGAGTCCATACAGCAATGTACGGGGGATGTGCGGGTCAACGATGCGGTGAGCGCGCGAACAAACACAACACCGCTCTTTTCCGCTCGTGGCCGGTCATGCCCGTCCAGAGACACAAGATCGGTTCGCACGCGATGCGAGGTTTACCTCGCTTCGGAGGTAGCCGGCGTTGGAAGACGAAGAAGCCGAGTGCCTTCGGGAGGTTCGACGTTTTTAGAAGATCGTTTTATGCGCTTCGTTAACGCTACCCGAGAACGCTAAGGTGCCTGCGCAAAGGCGTCGGCGCTGTATATCGGGTGTCATTATGGGAGTTACCGGGGAACTGCTACTAAAATTGCCACAAGCTCTTCAGGCTTATACCGGCTCATCATTGTACTTTTTGAAAATATATGCATAAAAAAAAAACTATTCTATTCTATTCTATTAAGTCAGCTCCGTTGCCGGTTCGGTTGTCGACTTGTCCCCGTACGCGTGGCGTGAGTGGCCCAGCGAAAAAGGAGGGCTTGGGGTGCTCTGTCAACCGCATCTGACAGCCAGGTTGGCTAGCGAGCATCGCGAACGGCGACATCAAAATGTCCCGCGCACGGCTTTGTCAACCGCGGAGAAGACGAAGGGGCGCGTACCTTGAGAGAGGAGCGCAGTGAGGGCGACGAGCGTGCGTATCCAAGCCATCGTGAGCATCCCTTGTCCGGCGCCAAAAGCCGACTGGAATCGAGGTGGCCGCACTTTATACGGAGACCAGTTGCGCCGCCTCGCGCCGGCCGCCCCGGCCGCCCCGGCTGCTTTGCACACACCTTGCTCGGCCGCCGCCGTCGGGCCGGATGCTATCGCCGGCTGCCTCGCTCCTCGACACTCGGAGGGAGGACGGCGACCGGGGCTGCGCGCACTCGTTCGCTGACGGGACACGTTGGTGGCTCGTGGCTCGCTTCTCGGTCCCGAAGGTCGAGCTGCATGCGGGAGGGGAAAAAGCCTGCCTTCAAGCTCACCCTAGCACGCGACTGTCACAGGAATAAAGGGGAAAAAACATAAAAGGAAGAAGCTAACCACTGAAAGCAGTATATAAAAAAATAGCGATAGCGTCGCAAACTAGACAGCGAAACGGAGAGATTTGCAACTTTTCATATGAAGTAAAGATATAGTATGGATAATATTAGTAAAAATAATATTACTTATTTTTACGAGGGGCTTGAACAGTGGACTTGAAATAATGGTGACAGCCTGCAAAAAACGTAAACGTCAGCAGAAATATTCGAGATTAGAAGAAAAAAAAATGGTCGTACTTATAAAGAATACGAAAAAGCAAGAAAGTTGAAGCTAAAACAAACGTAAAACAAATAATAATAATAAATAGCACCTTCGGGCTGATAACATTGGAGTAGTCAAAAGATAATTCGTCGTCCAGGCCGTTTCCATATGAAATAAATTTGAACGTTAACTGCATCTAGGTATAGAGAGTAGCCGGAATATGCAGATGAAAGAACCGTACTCACTGAATGGGATAGATGCAGTGTTGTGCCCGTTACCAAAAATAAGTAACGAAATAGCGTTACTCGTTACCTAGGAAAAAAGCTAACGCGCTACACAGCTCCGTTACCATTTTGCAAATGTAACGAAATACCGGTGTCGTTACTTGCCATGACTAACGGACGTTACTTTTACGTTACTTTGTCATTACTTTCTATTTCACTGTTAGTATATAATATTTGTTTAAAATAAACTGCCTCTATCAACTTCGGCAACAATACACTTGTTCAAAGTGATTACGTATTTATCTGTACTCTGCCGCGCCTAAGCAGTACCGCAGAGGAGTGGGGTACAGATCACATTTATACGTTGGAGACTCACACAAACAGAACCAGAGTGGCAGGGATTCGAAACGATGGTGACGTCTCTCTGATGACGGTCGGCGTTCAATGCTGCGATAACTTTGGTATCCGGGCCAGCTTGTTTGTGTAATGTATATCCTCGAACACGTGACGCTTCGAGAGCACGATTCGTACAACTATAATGTATGTCCTGAACATGTCTTGTTTGTCTCACCTGGGCAGGATAAGGAATCTACATCCTCGGACACGTGACGGTTCGCTAGCGCGATTCGGAGAACGACACGTCAGCACCCGGCTATGCTGACACGCCTGTTTTGATTCAAAGCGTGGGAAGGTCAACGCTTCCAAACTTGGAGTTTATCCTTTCTGTTGTTGATTGAACGAGAATTCAGTTGTTTTGAAGAGCACATGAAGACACCCTAGATGTGACCAGCTTGAGTAGCTAGGCACGCCCAGGCAAAATCTTTCGAGCGGCGGCAGACTGTTGGCTTCTGAACAGATGTCTTTTTCCAGCAAGACGGCTGCTCAGGTTACGGCGACCGGTGATCATAGCAGCTTCTATACAAAAACTGCACTAAAGACGCTTAGGGGTTCCGTGCAGCGATAATCTCGCGCCTTTTGGGCCCGGTCGTGGGGACGTTCAAAGTGTCTTCTGAAGAAGGTTGAAATGACGCCGCTTACACATAGCTTTGTTGGGGTTTCTTTGCCACTTTTACATAATGTACATAATGAAAGTTAAATTGTTTCAAAACAATCATGCGGCCATTTGTAATCAAAATTAACGAGTAACGGGTAACGAAATTTGAGAGGAGCTACCGTAATATAATAACGATGTTACTTTACTCGTTAGTCATTTCAGATACAAAGGAGTACATTGGTACGTTAGTCAAAAAACTAACGCGTTAGTTCCAACACTGGATATATGTTACGAAACCGCCGTAAAACTAAATATTTTGAAGCCCGGGTTGAGAACTCTGGTTTGTCCTGATTAGCGGTCAGGTATGCCAACCACTGCACTACATTTATCCTATTCAATCGGTACGGTACCTTCATCTGCATATGTTGCCCATTTCCTCTTTAGAGGTCACGTCAGATGGTTAAAATGATCCGTGATCAAAACAGAAAGTTTCACTGGCTTCGTCTACACTGACGTTCATGGCAGAGGATAACTTTCTTTATGCACAGGTGACAGCATGCGAATAATTCCTATTGCTCCAAATTTCCCACGGTGCCTACAAAATGTTCCGAGCTCAATGGGCTGGATAGAAATAGTGTCCATTAAATTGTTGACACTGCGATCCATAGGCGCTCGCTCGACCCGATGATGCATTCTCAGTAGGACTCGAAATATGCACTCTCGCCGCTTACCGAACTAAAAAAAAGTTCACAGCTAGCCGTTCGTACACCACGGCTTTCTTTCTTCTATGTGTTTGTGTGTGTCTGTGTTTGTGGTTGCGCAATCTTCGTCAGAGGCAACCATGTGGATAACGGAATTTCCAGTTTCTTCTTACAAGTGTTCGTTCGAGAACCAGAGCCCGCGATGGGAAAATATCACATTTGGAAGGCATCTACAAAACAGTCTCGATCAATGAATTAAAACAAAAAAATATTGGCTGCTTACTCATCAAGCTAACGAAGTGCATCTTACACGCCCCAGCGAATGAGCGACGATTAAAGAATGCCGTTTCATCCTCGTTTCCTTCGGTTGCGACGCATACCCAATGAGGAGATCGTCAAAAGAGGAATCTTCTAGACTTCGTTTCAGCTTGAAAGGAAACTAAAGCGGTTCTGAATTTGAGGAAAAACATTTATATCGTCTGCATTTGACCTCCAGAATCACAAATATTGAGGTTTTTTTTTTTTTAATTTTGTGCGCGGACGTTGCAGAAATTGATTTTCAAAGTACCGCTGAAGCCCCTCCTTCCTGGGACGTGACGTCATATTAGGAATTTTCGAAATCTCCGCTCTCGCACATCTTCAGCGCCTCTCAAAGCTAGGCACGCGCACTCTCGCTATTTTTAAAAAGGTCAGAAAGATACGTCACAACTGGTGTCACTGCGAGGGAATATCCCTGGCAAGCTCGCAATTGCACGCGCTTGGCGGCCCAAAGATCCTAATATGACGTCACGACTGGTCGGAACGTTTTCGTGTTTCCTCGCGTTTAGTTACATCTTCGGGGAAAACGAACGTGATATTCATGTTCAGGAGGTAAAAATACGCTGAAACTAACCTTTAACTCGTTTTTTTTTTCTTTTTTTTTTTTTTAAGAAGTGTTTTAGTTTTTTTTTTTTTTTTAAGTCCAGTCGCAGCCGATGCTAAAATCGCGAGCTCCTTGCTTTTAGTGTCCTTGCCAAGCACGCGCGCTCGTGCAGTGGAGGTACTGTTCAGGGCCACATGCTCACGTTTGTAGCGTCGGCTACGTCAGTAAAAGCGAAATATAGACAATTCCTTGAATCTCTCAACCCTTTCGAATATGTAATCTTCTAATTTGTACTTTTTTTTTTTTTCGTCGTGTGTAAGTAGGCGGTGATAAAACTGACACAAGCTTTGGGAATTTTCAGAATGCTCGCCAGAGGTAAAGAAACGTGAAGGCTTTTCTTGCATGCTCCGCCCTTGCGTGTGAGTGAACGGGTGACAGCGACTCTCATCTCCGAAGATTAGCGGGGCTCGATTGGACAGGTAGCGCGACCTAGTGCGGAATTCTCGCATCACTGATCATTAAACAGTCCTACTCCTGGGGTGGTTTGCTGGTCAACTCGGCTCTCTCTCAAGGGCCGCATAAAGGATTTCCTAGTCACAAGACCGATTTTGTGGAGAGAATATGCCTATAAAAAATCTCCGCATCAACTACTTTCTGCTACGTTGTCAAGGCTAGCGTAACTTCCACAGTGCTGCAGCTCGGCACTGCTACGGGAGCACGTGTCTTCGTCTTGCGTCTCATTCGCCCTCCCTCTCGTGCGAAAGAGATGTCAAACGAAGCTGCAGCACAAAATTGTCCATGCCGAGACAGGCAAATGGTTACCGTGATTCCGTTCTCGCTTCGACTATTAAATTCCGACTTCGCACGCAGAAAACGAGTGAGGAGGAGGCTTGAAATATAAGTGAAATGAACCGGATTAGTGTATTTCAGGAGCGGCATGTAAAGTTTTTTTCTGGGAAAGGTCGTGTTAGGCGAGAATTGACAAAAGCGAAAGTCAAGGCTTACGTATTCTGGGCGGAATGGGCTGGAACCCCAGATACTTACCACCCTCTGAGCCGGTCACGTGAACGGAAGATCCCTCTTGCGGCTCTCGCCGAGTGAGACAGCCGCATTGATCAGCAAACCGACCTGTCCGGTTTTGGTCAAGGTGAGAGAGTTCTCGGCTGCTGATTGGACGTGGCGCCACATCTTGGGCGTAATCAACCAATGAGACACTCCCGACCCGTTCGCGAGTTTACAATCGGGCAATAATCTAGTGACAACGTCTCACCAACACAAAGATAGCGAGAGAGGTGTCGCTGCCTCTGATATGCTTGTCCTCAGTGGTCCTTCACCCACCGGTTTACGTCAGCTTGTGTATCGGCAGCGGAACAACTTGAGATTTGCAAATGAAGCGCAGGTTGTCAGTGGCTTTTAACGTAAAATAGCTGGAGGGCGCATCGTACCGTATCGGATGTGCAAAAACGATTACCTAAAACTCTCAATAGTATGAAATCGTAAAATACGATACTCTACGGCGCTACGATGTCCCACGGTACTGTACGGTGGAGTATGATACTGTACGGTATGGTATGATGGTATAATGTGGTATGGTATGGTATGGTATATGGTATAATATGGTATAATATTGTAAAGTACGATACTATATGGTGTCACGGTGCCGTACGGTATGGTATATGGAGTGGAAGGGTACGGTATTATATGCTATGGTATGGAATGGTTTGGTTTGGTATGGTTTGGTATGGTATGGTTTGGTATGGTATGGTATGGTTTAGACTCTAGA